GATGTTGGGATGAAATTTCCAAGTAAAAAGGTCTTGAAACATGCTGTACAAATTTATGGAGCATTAGGGTCATATGAATGCAAGGTGGTGAAAAATGATAAGATTAGGTTGTCCGCTAAGTGCAAAGAAGGTTGTAATTGGAGGTTGTATGTTTCTAAGATGCAGGGAGAAAGTGAAGGAAACATGCATCTAATGTCTTGGAAATGAATTTTAGCCACAACATATACAACAAAAATATTTATAATGGCGGAATCATTTTGTTTAATCTAGTTGAGCTAATCCTATTTTATTTACCCAAGTATCTTGGATTTAGTCTCTTTGTGCACAAAAGGGAGAAAAGTTAAGCTTTTTACCCTTGAAGCTTTTCTTGGAAAGCCAAGAATGAACACCTTTGTTGGAAAGGCCTTCTATCTTCCTTTTCTTTCAAAGCTCTTCAACCAAAGACTCCGAAGTAGAAGTCCTCTACCTCACCACACCAAAATGGAGTAGAGATGGAGAGAAGGTCAACCAAGAGATTTGATATGCTAGACTCTCTCTTAGTTGGCCCAATTTTTGGCTAAGGAAGATGAGAGGAGAATGTCTCACCTACACATCAACACATCAACACATCAAACTTGGAAAACCAAAAACCCTTACTAGGTTTTGAGACAAAGTGTGGCTTTTATAGAAAAGGCACATGAAGGAAGAGAGAGAACTCTCTCTATTGTGGCCCACCAAGAAAGGGGGGAGTGGGCCTCACTTGGTCCTTGAATTTGTGTTTTCATAATAGGCTTTTGGGTATTTTGCATTTTTTCATATTAAATCAAATTTGAAGCCCAACCCAATTCCAAATGTCAAAGTTAATTCTATAACTTGTAATTATGAATAATAACTTAACCATTAAGTTACACTTATAGTCTTACTATTTGACTCGGTCAATAACTTCGGTCAATAATGTTGACTTTGACCTTTGTCTTTTGGTTGTTGACTTTTGTCTTGTAGTTTCTTTCCTCTTCATTTGTTTCTCTAATCACATTTCTCAGTGTGTGATCCATATGTTCCTTTTAGCAAGGTAGTGGTTTGACTCAACTTCTCTGAGTTGATTTGCAAATTAAATCTCACCATTTCATTATTCCTACTGGTGAAGGATAACTAAGTTTGAACTTTTCAGGACTTCCACAAACCATGGTTGACGCCTAGGAGTATATCATGGTTATCCGAGCTAAATAGGGTATAGTGAAGAACCTATTTATTCACTTTCAGCCCCAAAACCCTTTTTTTGTTGTCAAATTGCAAAAACCTATTAAATTCTTATGAAAAAGCCCAAAACACTTTTTACTTCTCTTTCAAAACTTGAAATTATGTAAATTGAACCTATAAAAATCCATCATTCCAATCTAAGTTTTTAAACTAAATAAATCTCACATACACACATTCAACCAACCAACCAAGGAAAAGAAATATAATCTCTTACAAACCATTACAAAAAATAATATACAAACCAAATTAAACTTATGAAATTAAAGATTACAACCGATCAAAAAAATACACATAAAGATAATATCCTTGCAAAAAATCTGCTGCATCCATTCTTCCAAAAGCCTTAACAAAGCAACCTACACAACACTAAAAAGAATTAACACAAAGTTTCACCATCAACAAATCATAATTAAAATAAGATGCAAGAAAAATACCTTCCAACATATCTTAATCACACTAAGAAGGGAGAGTCTTATTCAAATTTGTCGTGGATGTTTTACTCCCTATTTCTACAAAATATAATAAAATAAATCAAACCAATTTGAGTTAGAACACATAAAAATAAGAAAATAATCGGATTCAAATATGCTTATAGAAATGAAAATATTACCCATTTCAATTGATTCATAGAACTCCATCTCCTCAATGCTTGGCACATATTGCAATGAAGATATATCTTCGGACCTTATCCAATTTTGAGAGCAAATCAAAGCCTCAACCATCCTAGGAGACAATGAGCTTCGAAACGAGTCAATCACTCTCCCACTTGTGCTAAAACAAGACTCCGAAGCTATTGTGGAAGTAGGGATTGCAAGCACATCATTTGCAATTGATGCCAAAGTAGGATACTTGAGCCCATTTATTCTCCACCACCCTAGTATATCAAACTCCTCATCAATGGATTCAAGTGGATCCAACAAGTAC